ACAACCATCCCCTCAGATGCCCCTATCCCAAGAACATTTATTTGATTTAGACCAGATAACCTTGCAACGATTTGATTAACCAAAAACTCTTGGCGTTTAGTAATTGATTCCAAAGTGCTTTAATTATTCTGACTTATTTTTTCTTCAAGCTCCCTTTGTAACCTCAGTATGTTCTCTTTAAGTTGAGTGATCTTAGCTTCCATTTTCTTTTCGTTGATCGAGTATTGGGAGGATGAGGTGTGTCTGATTTTGTTCCTTTTTTGATGAGACATCTTCTGTTAGTTTTTGTGAATGTAATGAAAAGAAAAAGAAAAATAATTCAAAATATGTATGATGCATGAAGTTTCTACATTCTAACTAAGTCTTCTAGGCCATGAATGACTTCTAACAGGTTGAAAAGTCTTCTTCATTCTCTTCACAGGCTAAATACCTTATCGGACCACTCTATCTTCTCTCACTAAATCGTGCAAGTGATGTTCCTCTTTCTGTACTTTCTCTAAGAAGTCTCAAATGACCATATCTCTAGCTTTCACCCTTTGTTGAGCTTGCTCCCAACGAAAACGCCATTTAAATCTTCCATCAAAGGGAACTATCTGAAGCTCAGTTTCTTGTTCCTTAAACTTTCCACAATGACCTCTAACTCAGTTATGGTTTTTCCATCATGTTCTTGCTGTTTTTGAAAAGACCTCTTCGGATTAGCTACCATAATCTTCAGTTGTTTGTTCTGGTGTTGGAAATCTAACAAACGCGTTAGGGAAGTCTTTAGCTATTCTTTCAGTGTCTCCTTTTCATCTTGTCCTTCGAACTTCCTTTTCAGGCTGTTGGCTTCACTTTCCAGTATTCGAAAGATCTTTTCAGACTGTAATTGTTCTAAACTTGCTCTTGACACCCCTTTCTCAAATCTTTTAACTCAAAGTAGACTTTCCTATATTCTTTTTCTAGTTTGTCTACCCGATCCTTATGAGTATCAGCATCTAACTTCCACTGGAATCTTTCAGCCTCGAGTTCTCTTAGCCTTTTTTAATCTCTTCCTTTTCAACTTCAAATTATTTCTTTGCTTTCTCCAATTCGGAGGGAACTAGTTTAAGATGTTTTTCCATGGACCAAGTATCTCCATGACCTGGTACGAGAATGGTGTCATTCTTTCTCAACTGCTGCCATTCCAAATAATCTGGAGTAAGCATGTCTTTAGCAGTCATGACATCCATATGAAATATCTTCTTCCATGACTCAGTTACATCTTTGACATTCTTCTTGTAGTTGTCCTCATGGTATGTAAATTCTGATCCAATTACTCATGTGTAGTTGGGACAAACTAGCGTGCCCCATACTGCCGAAGTGCCAAAAGTGGATATTATTCGACTCTTTCCCATAATCCAAGTAATATTATGATTTATGAGTCTCCACATTGATAAAGAATGTCATTATGGGTTAACCAAGGGGCTCTCCAGGTTATGTACTTATATTGAAGATGTGTGAATACTTCTACCCATTTCTCTTTTGGGATGCCTTTTTGCCACTTTAGTGTAAGGAATTCTCCTAAAGGAGAGTAAGTGGTGCTGAATCGGCGGTAATAAATCCCGTCAGTCTTCTAGAAGTTTCTATGGATCCAGACATGAAGAAACTGTGTGTACCCTATAAACCTTACTCCCCCATTATCGGGTTTACTCGTTTCGGGATTTGTTCGAACAGTTCCACCATAGCCGCCTCGATGTATCTCAAAGTTTTTGGGAAGATAACCAAGTCGTAAAGACCCAGTGCGAAAATGTTTATCACCTTCCATTCATCTGGATGATTTTTCATCAGTTGGTTTATATGGGTCCAAGCAATTCTCTCTCCTTTATCTTTGTGCTAAATCCGGTCAGTTACCCATTTCTCATTTACCCCTACAACCTTTGCCGGTCCACTCTTGAAAGGTCATCTTTTGATGTGCTTGGTGTAGACTTGGTCCATTTTGATTCCTTCGTAATGTAGCAAAGCAGTAAACTCTTCGATTGTGGGTATCATGTCTTCTTGGTTAAATGTGAAATAACTATACCTCAGATTCCATAATTGCATTAAGGCTTGAATTAGGGGCACATCTATCTTGACATAGAGTAGAAGCGCGATATCACCGTATCATTGGCAGAATTTCCATTTCCGGTCTCTTTTTCAACTGTCCCAAATTCTCTGTAGTTCTTGAACATCATTTTGCTTAAGGATGACATAAACATAACTAACCAGATCTGACAAGTTTCCTTGTAGACTATCTCTCTTTTCCTTCTGAGTCTTTCTGACCATAGTCGGGGACCTATGCGTTTTTCACCTCTTTGATTACAACCCCTTTGTCCATTAATGCAAATTATTTGTGTTTAACAAATACTCTTTTGTGGATCAATCACCTCTAATAAATGATGCAAATGATAAAATAAAAAGAAAACAAAAAATGAAAGTAAAAAATAATCATACTCCACATGATATCTACCCCACATGCTTTTATTCTTACCCAAACATGATTTCTATCCCGCATGTTAATTTTTGAGCAAATCCTAACCGCATATTTTCTAGTTCGTATGCTTTGAACAGAAAGTAAAACAGGAAATAGCTCAAACATCCTAGGTTTGAAATAGATTTTCGGGGTGGGCTCTAATTCCTTATAGTCTCCCGGTTTAGGTTCTAAAAAGTGGTACCTGAGTTCTCCTTGTTAGTGCCCCTTGGGCTTGCCAGACCCTAAGTCCTAAGCATATTACAAACTTATGTGGACCGAGTTAAACTCGAGAGGGCACATTCCCTTATGTCTGTATGGAGAATAAATTCACACGAAGACATAAGGTACATGAATCTCGAAGGCTACTTGCTAAGCCTATACAAAGAATAAATTCCCACGAAGGCGTCACTTTCACCTCCACTTACGAAAGGATTTGTAGCTCGGGTATAGAGCCTGAGATGAATTTTTCAAAAGCTGAAATCATTGAAAAAAACATCAGTACAACTATTTATTTGAAAAATAATCAAAGATAAAAAATAAGGATCGAATAAATAAATTAAAATTTAAACTTACAATTTTCGCTTAAGAAGAAAACCGAAAATTAACTTTGGCATAACTCACTTACCTGTCCTCAGCGGGGTCGCCAAGCTGTCGTAACCGTCCTTTGGGTGCGCCCGAAATTGGCCTTCGACTTAAATAAAACATGTTAGAGCCTTCACCGATCATTTTTTTAAAATTAGGTTGATCAGACACGTTAATTTACCGTCTTACTTGATCTGCATTTTACCATAAACATGTCAGATTCGAGAGTCGATTACAATCAAGGAAGGATTAGCACCCTTGTACTGCCCTTTCGATACCAATTTAATTTCTCGGTTATCTTAATTGCGAAAATTAAAAGTTAAATTAAATTTAAAGATTCGATTCGAACTACTTACCTTTGATCGACTAAACTTATCCCTAAAAAATAAAAAAAATATTAGATTATAAAATAAAATATATAAATAATTTAAAAAAATTTAAAAAGGTTTACAAATGTTTAAAAATAGTAAAAGAAGTACATGTTAGGATTTTTTTAAAAAGAAGAAAAAATGATAACAAAAAAATTAAAAGGATTAAATTAAAACAAATTAAAATTGAAGGACCAAATTAATGCTAAGGATGTGCTGTAAGGAAAAATAAAGAGTTAGAGGGGTTAAATTGAAAAAATATAAATTATAAATAGGGACTAAATTGAATTAATTAAAAATTTAGAGATAAAATTGCAATTGGTGACCAAAATGAATTATGCTTCAAAAGTATAGGTACTGCAGAAATAATTTAAAAATCTCATAATTACAACCTAGTCCCCTTATAAATACCCCTAAAATCACCTAATTCCCTCATTTCTCACCCTTTTCCCCTAAACCAAACCCCTAAAACTCTCCCAACTCTCTCCCTTCTTCCCCACCCGGCCGAATGGCGACCAATCACCGACGTAGCCCTGCCGCTATCAACCGGCGCTCCGGCCACCACACCGGTGGCTGAAAAAAAAGAAGCAAAATCAACCAAAATACTCTTCTCGATCCCGTGAGCGTGAAACCAAAGCCCAATCACCCTAAAAAGACCCCAATCAACATAGATCTAAGTTTTTAGGTTCGAATTTTCACCTTTATCGGCTAGCCTTTTTAACTTATGGTGGTCGATTCCATCCCTAGCCGAGACTAATGTTGCTTTTATGCCTTTTTTTGCCTATGTTAATGCTTTGCTTGGTGTTTCGATATTTGGTTGTCTGTTTTTTGTTTTTTTTTGTACACTTTACTGCTCGTTTCTGTGTTGCTTTCTCGTGGTTCCCTTGATGGCTTGGTCTAAGGCTTTTTATAGCCTCAAACTCGACCGTTGTAGTTTCGAAATGGGCGGGATCTCTGTCCGATTCTTTCGATGGACGTTCGGCCGAGTGTCGTTCGTGTAGACTGTTACACCGACCTTGCAAAAATCCTGGCCAGTTTTCGAATCATGCGTGGCGCTCCCATACTAAGCCCTTCCTTAATACAAAACCATAGTTTGATTTTTTGGGCTGGCTCGGTCGAGCTGCACTTTTGACTGGATTGGACCTGTTAAAATTTAATAAATAAATAAATAATAATATAACCTAATATATAAATAATAAAAATAAATAAAAAAAGTAGAAAGAAAAAATTATCCTCCCCAAAAAATATAATATATTAATATTTTCAAAAACCTTTTTTAAAAAACTGATTTCAAAACCGATTTAAAAACTATATACTATACGCTTTCAAAACTATTTTGAAAACTATATATTATATGTTTTCAAAATCGTTTTAAAAACTATATATTATAAGTTTTCAAAAATATTTTTTAAAAACTATATATTATATGTTTTCAAAATTATCTGAAAAACTATATAATATATTTTTTCAGAATGGTTTTAAAAATATATATGTTGTTTTAAAAGTAAGTTTCCAAAAACTATATATTATATATTTCAAGAACTATATTTATTATGCTATATAAAAACACCGGACAGAAATACTTATCTACACCACCAACATCCCATATCTTAGTTTTCTCATCCTCATAATGACTAGAACTCCTTGATGAAAGATGAAGATTGTAGTGGATGTAAACTAAATCTTCAGCACGACTCAGATTTAACTTATTCGTCCTAAGTGAGTGGATAAAGGAATAAGTACTCCAATTTCTTTCACAACAAGAAGATGAAGTAGGTTGTCCAAACACTTTGATAGCCAAAGATTGGAGCAATGGAGTTTCAACACCAAAGTTAGCCCACCAACTTTTTGGATTCGAAGAATACCTCTTTGTAAGGGAAATCAAATCTTCAAAAGGCTCACTCTTAGGTGAGAAACAAACATATTCATCCATGACTTTGTCATAATCATCATCATTTGGAAATAACCTACGAAATCCCTTCATTCTCTCTCGAGATATTTCATCGTCTCTATAAGGAGCAACTCTAACAGGATACACGGTTAGCAAACTATCACTATAAAACCTTTAACATATTAAAAAGAAAATTACACATATATCAAATAAAAAGAGGTGAGAAAATAAAATCCAAAACTAACAAAGCTACGTACCTTGGATTTAGTGAATAAGCTAGATAATGAAGAGAAGTATAACTCTTTGTCCAATGAGCTATAAGAATCTCATAAACAACGTGATAAAAAGGACTGAAATCTGAAAGAAAACGTTTTTTGTTCTTGTATATTTCACACTTCACTTTCTTAATCATGGAATCCCACATCTCATATACCAAATGAAGACATGGCTTATCAGTGTCACGTACTCTAAGCATGTCATAGATGAGCTTTGTGAAATCAATGATGTAAGTTGTTTTATCCCACCAATCATCACTTATAAGTTTTTCCTTCATAAAGTTTACTTTCACCATATCATCCTCTCTATAATAATTCCATTCATCACTTATGACCATTTCTTGAAGTACATTCTTGATGAGCTTAAACCTCTTAAGCATCACAATGATTGAAGCAAAATTAGTATCGACAACTGAAAGTAACTTAAGATGACTAAATCTTTGGAATATTACAAATATCATGTTGTGGTTCATGATGACATTCTTAATTTATACAACATCCCCATGAATTTCAGTAATTCAATGGCACACGTCATATGTTTCCTCAATTCCCTCGATATGTTTTCTCAAACAAATGTTCTTCAAGGCAAGATTAAGTGTATGGACAACACACGATGTCCAATAAATATGAGGATACATGCTCTTAATAATCTCTCATGCCCCTTACAATTAGTTGCGTTGTTTGAAATAATTTGTACCACATTTTGATAACCCAACTCATCAATCACTTCTTTCATCAAATTGAAAATGAAAAACTTAGGCAAAAGGGTAATTTTTCCCTTGTAGTAGACTAAAATTATCCTTTCCTCCCCTATCATATTTTTTCATCAATTTAACCATAGAAGTTGCTCAATTGCATCATCCTATGCCCTACACCTAACTTAAACCCTAAATTATAAATATTAAACCCTAAATCATAACTCTATTGTAATCACCATTTTTTGTCCTGTCATGCCCTGCACACCAACTCAACTCAAACACCCATGCCCTGCCAGCTCCACTCCCCTACTACCTCTGCATTGTGCCCATACAGCTTCACCAAATTCTCACTAACAACCATACAAGACAAGGAAAATAAAAAAAACAGGGATTTTTATTTTTTAATTTATTATTTTGTAATAAAAAATGGGTTATATAAAACCCCAAACAAAGATGTAAAAGGGGGAGGTCTTTTCTTTTCTATCTCTTCTTCTTTTTTATGAAAAAGCATGGTATTCTTACTCTGGTTTTTCTATCTCAATAAAAAGAACAGTTGTAACAACTCTCTTCTTCCTCATTCAAACAAATAGAAGACAATACAAAGAACATTTTGCTAAAAAATGTCTCCATTTTCTTTTTTCTTCAATATTGGAGGTAACTTTACTTATCGTTTTGAAATAAAATATAAGAGTGGAGAGTTTCGTTTTTACCTTTGCCTTTCGTAGTCTGATCGGTGGGGAAGAGTCCGTCATTCGCATGGGTTGAGCATGAGAGGTCGGGTTTATTTTAGAAGAGTTTGATTTTGTTTTCCTTTTGGCTCATTTTTGATTTAGTTGAGAAGAGAGAAAAGTTATAGTCCATTTAGAGTGTGTTCTAGCTCCCCTTAATCGGATGGAGAGTTGATCGAAGTATGGAGTGGCCACTAAGGCGGTGACCGGTCGTTTCACCTTTGGTTTCGTTTGGATCAGCGCCATATTGTCAAAAGAGGAAGGATAAGAGGCTTTAGTTTTATTTAAGATCAGGTTTAGTTTTAGGTTCATTTTAGAATTTAAATTAAATTAGATATTAAAGCTTAAGGTAAATCAAGTCCAGGTTGCTATAACTTGGTCGTATATTTGCATTTTGGTCACCAGTTTGGGCCATTTTTACTTTATTTCAAATTTACAGGTCATTATTGTTATTTTCCCATTGTTAAGCTGTTAGGTAATTGCTAAGGTTTTAAAATAGGGTAAATCATGTCCAGGTCCCCCTAGTTTAGGCGCCTATTTACACATCATTCACTAAAGTCATGTTTTTCTTATTATTTTTAATTTATCTATTATTTTTTATTTATTGCATTTCATGCACTTTTTCCTCTTATTATTGTATTTTAATGTTTTATTATTTGTTGCAATGGGTAATTGTTGTTTTGTAATGTTATTGTTTAGCCATTAATGTTTATAATTTTGCTATTTAATTTTATATTTACTAGGCATTTTTAACGATTGTTAGTTTATATTTTATTTACTCGTTCCACACTATTTGTAAGCATGTTTTATTATTATTATTCCTTTAGTTTATATAATGGCAATATATATGATTTATTTTCTTTAATAACATGTTTCATTATTTTATTTGACATTTTATCGCATGAATATTCGAATTATGCATTCTTGCTACCATGAATAAAGAGAGAGCATTCTTTTATAGAGAATAAATCGATGAGATAGCATTCCTAGTAGTTGGAGTGCGAATCTTGCGATTACTTCTCAAAATGAGGAATGTTCTTTATTAAATAATTCAAAACAAGTTAATCAAATTTAATAAAATGAATCATACTTTAATTTCGACTCGAATCTACAGTTTCTACTATTACGTTAACGTATAAACAACTAGGTACCAATTTTGGGCGTTATAGTGGTGCTTATTCTTCCCCATGCGTAATCGACTCCTGAATCCTTAAAAATGAATTGCTGGTAAACGTAGACCAACTTTTGTCTTAAAAACGATTTTTCTTAAAATTGTTTTAAAGGTGTTTTTAAGTATTCGACCTATCTAACCCAAAGGTCGATGGCGACTCTTACTCAATTTAATTATATATATATATTTTTTCCCAAATAAGTCGTATATTTGAGGTTTTCATCGAAAATTACTTGTTTGTAAAAAAAGATGTTCCAATAGCTTGGCAACTCCGCTGGGGAAACTTTAGAGAGTCATGTTATAAGTCGATTATACATTTTCGTAGTTGTGGAAATTATGAGTTCGAGTATATAGTTAGCTTATGATCATTTTATTGAAATGTTGCATTACTATACATTCTTTATGTAAATTGTTGTACTAATGTCTAAATTTATGTTTTCAGCTTCACCAAAACTTCTCTTGAAATTTTTTATTTTATTTTTGATGTTTTATTTGGTCGAAGGTTTGTGTGTTCCTCCTCACACACCTCACGTGTATTTGCATGACATAAGTTCTATACCCGAGCTCTATCCCAATTAAGTAGGGGTGAACGCTTTTCTCTCGTAAGAATTTATTCTTTGTATGAGCCTTAGAAAATAACCTCTGGGGTACGCATGTCTTATACCTTAATAAGGATTTATTCCTCATATGTGTATAAGGAAGTGAATATCCTCGAATTAAACTCGATTCACTTAAGCTTATAATGGGTTAGGATTGAGGACTTGAAGCCCAATGGGGCATCGAAAATAATAACAATTCGAGTACTTTTTTCCTGTTAGAGCTGGAACCATACATATATTGAACCATAGAATGGGCATCCTAGGCAGAGCCATTCAAAACCTATTTCTGTTAGTAGGTACCGAAATAAGTGTACACGAAGGAGGAACGACTCTAAACCTTTACATTTAGCTTTAAATTCATAAAATATATTTATTTTTGAATGAAAGCTGTGAACTAGATACCATGCGGATATGATTAATTTCTTGAAATAAATCATGTTAGGAAGAAAGCATGTCCAGATAGAATTGATGTTTAATAAAAGCATGCTTTCTGATAACTCCATAAAAAGACTCAAGTTTTAGTCTTTTCACTTAAGTTATTGCTCGTCTAAACAAAGTGTGCACAACATTTTAGTTGCATTTAGTTGCATCTAGGTTATATTTGTTTGTGGTGGATAAGTTTTGCTTCGGTAAAATTTATTTGGTTTAACTGATGTTGCTGAGGAAAAAGTGTCTATATGGATTGTGTATGTGTAGGAAATTTACTTATGAAGAACATTTCAGTCGCGACAATGTAATTTGTAAGGGCCAATGGAATAGAGAAGCTAAAGAAATTGAGGAGTAGATTCATCTCGCCAAGGCAAGGTTTATCTTGCAAGTTTGAAGTGGATATGACGAAATCACCTATGTCAAATGCCAGCTGTATGAATTTTCTCATGTGCAAGAAAGCCCTCAATATTCTGACAACAGCCATCCATCTTTCCTTTTTTTAGCCAGGACAAGATAATAATGGGTATCTAGGGAATCTTTATTTAAGCAAATAGGAGATTTTCCTTTATAAATACCCAGCCATAGCAACCAACAAAGGAAGTTCGAAGAGCTTTACTTGAAGTGTGAGCGAACAACTGCAGTGCTTCCCCACCGTTTACCAACCGACCTTCCTTGGTCTCCTCCATAGCCAGACTGTAGCAGAGCAGTTGTTACTTGTCGTGACAATCGTTCTTCCTTTGTTCTTATTTTCTTTATGTATTTGGGTTCTATTAAAACAATGATACGTGGTTGACTTTTCGATAACACTATAAACTGTCTTACATGGTGTTAATGTTTGTTTTAACTAAACAATTATTTTCTGCTTTATGAATGATGAATTATGATTCTGCTCATAGCTATTTTGTTCATTGTTTGAATATTTCGCCTTGACACTGTAAGAGCTTTGAGAGATTGACTAGGGTCTTGGGGAAACATGTCATGTTAATGTAAGAGCACCGAGAGATTTCCCTTTATCTAGATATTGATTCTTAGATTCGATAGAATTAAGAGAGATATACGTGAAAATGGAATAGATCTGGGATTGTGATGTTCTTACTTGTCTACATTAGAGATAAGGAGAGGGTTTTAATCGACTAAAAGGGATAGACGCTAGAGTAGGATAGACAACGATTATAGTTTATGCTGAGAGGTATTGCTACAATAACAGTATGACAAACCAAGGGTTATAGTTAACGCTGAGTAGTACTGCCATAACAACTGTCTAGGAATACTTAGTAATCCTGTCGGACAACTTAAATATGTCATAACAATTCATTCTAGACTTAGAATAATTGCTTGTCAATACAAAATATTAGCATGAGTGCTCTGTGATTAGTCTGAATATGTGAGGTTGTTTTGAATATATTTGAATCAACGTTTGTCATTGCTTTATTTATTTTACTTCGATAGTTTTGCATATTTATTTTGTCTCGACCAAACATTTCTGCAATCATACATTATAATATTTTCTTTCTTTATTACTAATAGTTTTCTAGTTTGACAAGATAATAGGAATTAGTTTGTGACAACTAGTTCTAGTTGTGGTGAAGCTTAAAAATATTCGACGAATCCCTGAGGTGACGATAATCACTTACCTTATATTACTTGATTCGAATGTGTATACTTGCACAGAATTGCTTGCCTTAGCATATACATTTACTAGCGATCAAATTT